CAATATACCAGCTCTGCCACCAACTCACCATGTGATCTTAGACAATTTACTTAATTTCCTTGAGCCTCTGTTTACACATCAGTGAAATGAAGAAAGTAATACTTACAGTATCTGGATTGTTGCAAATATTCAATGAACTATATATTTGTAAAACCTGGCACATACCTAGCCTCACTAGAGGTTTAGTATGTTGTTGTTATTCCTATTCCTTTTGTTATATTTAACAATGGTTGGTAAGAAATAGAATAGGCAGAACAAAACAAACTTGTATTACTACGAAAAAAGGTAGGAACTTATGAGAGAATTTTTAATGATCCCCTTGTATTAAAAGTACTGACAAAGTAAACTTTCCACATACCTGGCCCTACAGTTTCTGATCTCACCTCTAATTAACATGGTCTCCAATATGGGGAAGCTGAGTGAAAGTGATCCCTTTCTATTGATGCATGATTTTTTCAAAGGAATAAGTAAATGCATACTCAAGAGCTGGCTTAAAAATGGAATCAATCAATCAATTAATCAGTCACTCAGCCAGCCAGCCAATCCAATAACTGAGCAGTTCTCACAACTCTGAGGCTAGTGGAGTATCAGAAAATAGAGTTTAGGCCTTTCTTAGATGTCTGACTTTTCTTTGATCGCCATGAAGTCAGCTAAGACCTCTGTTTCTTAAAACTATGTAATGGAATCAATTCTCTCCTTGTAGGTTTGGCATAAAGATCAAATCAGACACTGTATATGAAATCTCTTTGTAAATATCAAATCGCTTTACAAATATAACATTATTTCCTTACTTGAAAATCTTCGTTAATCATTTGTCATCTCTTTCCAAATCATATACATCCTTTTCCTAGTCTTTTGGACAATACCTTATAAAACTCTGAAGTGGCAGTATAGTCAGATAATTTTATGATTCAGCTTGGGAGACTCCTTTATAACTCATCAGCTCTTGTGGTCAGCAACTTCTAAGCTTGAAATTCACACCTTGGATGTTTATAAAATATTAAACCTTAAGGTAGCCATTATTTTATCTAAATATATTTTAAAAACCAGTAGGAAATATATGAAGACAATCAAATTTGTTACAACTCTTTCCTGCAGCTAGCTGATATGGCACATCAAGATGGATTTCACAGTTATACATCTGCAGAGGAATGTTTAGAGATAAGATGAAAGCAGTCCTCCTTATTAATCACACATTGTATGTTTGACTTCTGCCTCTCTCCTTGGCCTTTAAATCAACTACATCTGGTTCTTGCTACTTAAGTGCGCCATTACCTTGTACATTAAAAGGCAGTTATTCCTAGAGAAAGCAGCCTCATTTGATTAAAAAATAATTAACTAGAGTTATATTCATACTACTCATCATGGCAGCCCAAATGAGAATTTTAGTATAGGTTGGAGACCTACTTCATTTCTACAGCAGTGTCAGCAGAACTGAGAAGCACTTTATGGCTGTGATGAATGCTAGTATGAAACAGTTTTTTTGCTTTGCCAGTGTTAATTTTATAGTATCAAAAAAAAAAGCTTAATAGTATAGTATCAACATCTGACACATAGATAGGATTGCAAAGCAGCTGAACCTGGATATAACCACCCTATGCCAAAAGGTGTCCTCCTCTGTGAAGACCAGGGCACATGGTTGTTACTATACTGAGAGCAAGTCAAGCTTTGGGGACGGAGTCCTGCTAACCAGCTGCATAAGAAATTGATGTATAATTATCAAACAGATCCTGTATTGGAGTTCGCTGATAGTGAATTGTCCCTCAGAAGGGAAATCTGCATAGGAAACCAAATTTCTTGTTAAGTGGTGTGTGTGACATAGCAGAGTAATTCCGATGGTCTAAATCAAAATCAGTGCTACTCAAGGAAATTGTTGTTATTTTGTAAGAAGGTGAGAAGCTTGCACCAGAATGTAAATTATAGCATCACTTTTTGCTCATATACAGACATATATATTAATATATGTCCCCAACCTATACTGAAATTCTCATTTGGGCTGCCATGATGAATAGCATGAATATAACTCTAGTTAATTATTTTATACTCCAATAACACCACTTTTTCTATATATCAGGTGAACTAAATAGTGTGCTTCGAGACAGGTAATTTACATTATGGCACAAACTTCTCATCCCATGGCTAACTGATCACAAGCAGTTAGCATAACAGCAGTTATTCTATGGACTACACTTTGGGAAGTACTGGTTCTTTGCCTGAATTAGAATTACACTGGGAAGCTTTATAAAATATATAGTTTCCTAGTATGTACCCTTGAAGATTTCTGATGTGTTGTACCTGTATCTTCATTTTAAATTCTTTCCATGTAGTTTTGATGAACACTCAAACTTTAGGGACTGTTATAACATAGAATAATTAAGTAATGCTAGGCTGAATAAACTAGAGGTCAAGAATATGGGTTTTGGAGTTGGGGGTTGAATTCTTGCCTGTTCTTGAGCAAGTTGTTTTGGAATTTCTGTGCCTCAATAGTTTCATCTATAAAACACATAAAGTTGCTGTGAGGTTTAAGTGTAGTTATATTAATAAAAGGAACTTAGCTCAGTTCCTGCTACATAGTAGGCAATTAATAAATGTCAGCTTTAAATGACAGGTATTGTCTTCACAATGAGAATTACCTGCTGCTTTTTAGGATGTGCATGTTCATGTATATGCATACATACTCCTTTGTCCAAATTCCCTGGACAAATAAGGAACATGCTGCTTATGTTTCCCTGTCTGAGCCTTCTTTCCCTAAACATTTGTCAAATGTAATAATCAAAACATTTTGGTTGTAAATGTTAAAAACTTAAATCAATGTAATTGAAGGTAAAAAAATGTTGGCTGCTCAGGGGGAGATTATTAAATCATGCAACTTACAACTGAATGTCCAAGGGTGCATCTAGCTAAAAACATTGAATGGACCCACATGCTTGAAAGGTATCCTTCTGTCTCTATCACCTGGCTCTATCTGGTCTATCGATAATATCAATCTATTCAGCTACCTAGCTATCCTTCTGAGCTGGCTCTGGTTTTGTGGTAGCAAAATGGGCATCAACCTTGTCAGGCATATATGTTACCACCTTACTAACTATAGAGAAAAAAGAAGTTCTTTTGAAAACTAGTTTGACAAAATTCTAAAACTGAGGCTCGATAGCCTTACTTTGCAGTATCTTTCCATTCTTGAATAACTCATACTTGCTAAGTAAGAGCAGAACATTCTGGTTTGCCATGCCCTAACATGTACCTGTTCCTGAAGCTAAATTGGGACAACACTACCTGAAGCATTTGTTCCGAAGGGGTAAAAGATAATTTCCCCCAAAAAAGTTAAGAGATGTGAGAAGGAAAAGGGAAACACATGATGTGGAATCCAAACTGACAGATGTTTATTACTCTGACCTACCCTCTTTTCCTCTGCCCTTCCCTTGTCGTTTAAATATATTGGTTCAATTGGAATAAAGCCAAGATTTGGCCCAGAGACCTTAAATTTGTTAGGATAATTTTCAGATATTTATTCTAATCTAATTTGTATTTGTTTTATAATAAACTTTTATAGGTTGAAATTCCCTCCCACATCTAATTTGGGAATAAAGAAGGAAGGGGAATATCTTACATTGACCAAGAACAGATTCAGAATTTATTAATAGCATTGTGAGTTTGATTCTAAACTTTCCTTTTTGTTAGCTTGGGGAAGAGTCATATTTGATAAATAGAAATAAGCAAGGGATGATGTTAGAAAGTGACTGCCAAAGTTTCACAAAGGGGAATTTACATTTAGGCTATATTTATTACATGATAATAATGTTACTATGGATTATTAAATAGTGGATGTATTATGGTTCACTGAATCAGTGAAAATCACGTAGCTGTTAATGATTTGGAACCCGGCTTGCGAAGCACGACTTGGCAGAGCTATCAAGTGGTTGAAAGTGTTGGTATGAGAGTTAAGGACTTCAGCGCTCAAGTCCAATCTGGCCGTTTTTTGTGGTGTGTGGCCTTGGACCTGACTTCTCTGGGATGCAGTTTCCCCACATGTGTAATTGGGTAATGAAATGTAGTCACCACGCAGTGGTGGGGGAGAATTAAGTGCACTGACAGGGAGGTGCAGGCTTCTTCTGTATTTTTCAAGCCGTGCATATGCTTAGCCTTATTCTCCCAGTGCCTAACAGGCTCCCTTGCAGCAAGTCACTTAATAATTCTTCTTGGCCCCATGGTACCATTTGTTTTACAACTATAGTGTTCTCTACAAACAGTGCCATAAAGGACTAAATGTTACCCAAGGCATGAAGGGCTAAGATCAATTTATGGGCTGTGCCTATTTTTGAGTTTGCAAAGGAGCACAGAGAATGGTTATAGCTAGCTCTCATGCTCTGCAACTCATTTCATACATCATCATTTATACGTTAATATTCCCCTTAAAGGTTTTTGTTTTGATCATTTGCCATCCATCCTTCTACTCCTCATCTCCCAAATGTAGCATGGATTTTTTAATTTATCATTACAAAAATTGAAGCAGCAGGCTGAATTTTTCTGAGATAAGTGTTCAGCATGGTATAATGGAAAAACGAGAGCACCAAGATTTAGATTTAAATTATTGTATGAACTCTGCTGCATTTGTGCTGCCTGACCTTGGGTTTGTTCCTGACCCTCTCTGATTCTGTTCCCTGAGGTATAAAATAAACAGAACAATGACGTTGACTGTGTCTAATTCACATCTCTGCTGAGAGGGTTAAATGATATAATGCCAACAACAGAAAGCATAATCCAAGTGCAAATCATCGTTATGATTGTGATTATTATGTATGTGTATCAGTTTATTAGGAGTTTGTTGACAACTGGATTCCTGTGCACTCTGCTTCCATTTCCCCAGCTCCCAGAGATACAGAGGATCCCGGCCAGATGGCTGATTTGCCAGCTGCATCTTGTTTTGTCATTGTAAATATTACATGCCCCAACTGGGAGGCTTTGCTTATAATGTAGTATGCTTTGTCCTTTGTCTCTTGCAGCTTGAGAATTACATTGTGGAAAATATGAAGTCGGAAATGGCCCAGATACAGCAGAATGCAGTTCAGAACCACACGGCCACCATGCTCGAGATAGGAACCAGCCTCCTGTCTCAGACTGCAGAGCAGACCCGAAAACTGACAGATGTTGAGACCCAGGTACACTCCTCGGGGCCAAAGCCCAAACTCAACCAGGAAGGTTTGTGTGTGTGTGTGTGTGTGTGTGTGTGTGTGTGTGTGTTTCCTTTAGCTTGCTCCATAAACACAGAGCACATTTCAGCACTCAGATTGGAGAAACATATACAATTTTGTTTATTGGTAATAACAACAATGACTGCCTGACATGCTATGCATGTTTCTTTTGATTTAATGAGGGTTGGTATATTTAGCTTTGCATGTGTTTGCAAAAACAGGGCTGGCAAAGGACCTAATCAGTATTTAAATTCAAATAAACACTGCAGCTACCAACCGTGATATGATATGTGTCAAACAAAATAACCATTTGCATTAAATTGGTGCCTTTGATGTGCATTTTTGACCTGTCTTGTTTTGTCTCTGGTAATTCTCTAGCTATAATGGCACCTGCAGAGGGTTTGTGCATTCAGTGGATAGAAAGGAAAAGCCAAATGAACTGATCAAGAGAGTGAAAGTGAATGTGTATATATGTGTGTATGTATCTCCCTACCAGGGACAATGACATACTTATTTGAGTATAAATCAGTAAAAAACTAGGGATGCCCTTTGATCATCATTGTCACAAACCAATTATCACAGTTTAGTGCAAATAGCAAGTATCGATTTGATGACTAGAAGATGATATTTTGGTTCCCTTTTAGATATGAAAATGGCCATTTGGTTATCATTCTGAAACTCAGGGGTTGACTCTGTGTCAATGTAGTTGATTTCTGGCATCTAAGAAATATGTCAATTCAAAAATTAAGTACAACCTTATTTCTAATTTATTTCATTTGTGTTAGTGACATCACAGATATGTACGTATTTAAAGAAAAATAACAATGACAATTTATGTGGACAGAGCATTTTATATAATACAAACAACTTTCCCATTTACAAATGGTTTTTTATGAAAATCATTTACAGTAGATAGTTCAGAGAGTTTGAGTGATTTCTCACATTGATACAGCTAGTGAATAAAATCTAGGACTAAACTCCAGATTTATTTCTCTTCTTTTCTATCCCCCTTAATTAGTAATACTAATAATTAACTAATACTAATAATTAATAAGAACTTAAGTACTGATTGCATTGGAGCAATGAATCACATAGGCTTTGGGAAAGTTTCTTTTTTTTGCTGCACATTATCATCAGATCAACATGAGGGATGGGGGAAAATTTGTAACTGAAAATTATGACTTTAATTGTTTATCTTCATACTAAGAAAGTTTCATAATCTATGCATATTGGCTTCTTGTGGTATAAATAATGTGATTGTATTTTTTCTTATTTTTATTAGAACAGAATGCTCATCTTTTCCTACAAAACACTCTCATATATTCAAAAACTGACACAGTATATCTTACTTGATTGCACATTTGAAATTTTTATATATCTCTGTTACAATAAATTTTATGACATAAATGGCAGGGGTTTGTTTAAGTTTTCAATCCCCCAAAATGTTATCTTGGAATGTTTTTGTTCTCTTTCCACCTTGGAATTGGATCTGTGGAGGAAAAAAAGTCGCATTGTTAGTTTGTTAATCTTCACACTGTTAAGATGCATGCTATATAAGTTTTTAAGAGAAAACTTGCTTTGTCTTCATTGTTAAGGCCAGAAGATGTGTACTTTTGGAAAATAGCACAGAAAATTCAAAGAGAAAAGAATATATGAAGCAGCTAAAATTTATCCTTAAAGGCCAATGAAAGTTTATTAGATACAACAGTAACAATTTGAAGATAGCTAAAACCAAGAAAACATCTAAAAAAATCACAAACGTATCAGACCTAGCAGTGAGAGGAAAGTAGAGAAGGAAAACAATGGCTCAAACTATGGCTCACCTTAAGAAGTGAAGCATATGTGTTCATCTTCATTTTAATGTCTTCTAATTGTCTATGCTATTTGTAGCAGTGATGCTCCAAAGCTTCATCTTGTAAACATATACCCTTGTGGTGCTTATTTCAACTATTACAACAGGATGTGTTCTGCTTAGACATAACCATTCATGTGCACTCATGTCCTGATGTATAGCCAACTTTACAAAATGAATTCTGAATTATTCTGTAAACTTGATACACTTTATGCATTTATAGTAAGCATTTATAAACCAATAGATCCTTCTGTGCTGTCCAGGTATGCTCTCCTAATTTTGCTCCTACATTCATCTAACTTGACTTAACTTTGGTAAGTGTTGCTTTTCCTAAAACTGATTTTAGGTCCTCAGTTAATTCAGGAACTCATGACAATGGCTTTACAATACATTTTAGTGCCCTAGCTTTCACTGTATGATCTTCTAAAGATAAGTAACTTATTGCTCTCTAGTCCTCTGCTGACTTTAGACTTGCAACTTAAAAAAAGATGATAGAGCCATGGTTTTACTGCAAGGGTATTTAAAGATACTGTTGTGCTCCATAAGCATCATGATCAGAAAAGAGACCTATAATGAGCACATCTAAATAACCCTGCTGGCCATGATGGTGAGAATCAGGAAGCAACATCATGCCCTTTCCTTCCTCCTTAGCCTGCCTTACAATGTTTTTCTCACTCTGTTATCAGTTTGTGCCATTATCTCTTTGCCTTCAACATCCTTTTTCCAAGTTTGCAATATAAAGGGGTTAGCTTCCAAAGGTTAGTCATGTCCCTTCCTATAATGTAATTCTATTCCTCACTTTTTTCCTCAGGAAAATTTGGTTTTAGAGGAACTAATAGACAAATTGCATTATAATTCACCTCTAGTAATCTGTGCTTAGCTCAATTCTAAGCAGTTTTGGAAACATTATTTAATAAAAACAATAAATGCTATGTAGTAGATAATATATATTACCATCCCTTGTTTAAAGATGAGGAAACTGAAATATGGAGAGGTGAAACAACTCGCCCCAGATTAAAGAAGTAGTGAATGTTAGAGTGAGAATTTGAACTCAGTCCAGCATCAAAGTCTCCATGCTTTACCAGCCCTCTATGCTGCCTCTCTCTGTATACTCCTTCTTTCTCTAGGTTTACAGACTAGTAAGTGGGACTAAGAAGAGGGTAAGACAGAATCAGATAAAGCAAAAGGTAGTGTGGATCTAATAGGAGCCACCGATTGCTTTCTATAAATGGTGAAGATGCTGCTGCTGTTCTGCTAATGACAGTAATGATACCACCTATTATTGCCATTCTACCATGTGCCAGTCACACCATCTCAGGGAACTGTAGTACTGTCCTTGCCACTTGCTAGCTGTGTTCATTATGGAAAAGTTCCTTAGACACTGAGCTTAGCTATGTTTCTTCCAGGTTCCAGTGCTTTACATGGGAACTTTAGTGTTAGAAATGAAATTTAGTCAAATATATAAAGATATATTTTGAGTACTTACTTGATGCAAGATGCTTTAATAGCTACTATGTAGAATACAACAAAAAGTAAAGCAATTCTTATTTTCAGGGAGTTTAATTCAGGAGGATTTTCCCTAGTAAATTTCCTGCATGTCGAATCCCATTTTATCATCTGCTTCTCAGAAGTCACAAATGATCACACCTATTGTTTGGACCTCAATAGCACAGTTAGAAATATAAGACAATTCAGGAACAGCTTGTTCGATGAGCAGGGATCTCTAAGCAGAAACAGGTTTCTCCTCACATCTGCTCTCAAAGGAAAACTCTCAAAGTTGAGGCACTGTATCTCTAACTTGTTGAGGGAATAGTTGTATATTTAACATTTAGCTTTGGTTTAACAGAAATGGCAGTGAAACAGACTCTCTACTGGGTAATTCATAGAAAATACTCCAATAATTAATTTTCTTACAAGGTTTAGAAAAATGTTTGATAAAGGCAAAAAGTGCTTGCTGAGCCCACTAGCAAAGGGCTTAGCAAACTATGGTCCACAGTCAAATTTGACCAGCCATTTCTTTTTGTAAGTATAGTATTATATTATAAATACATATGTTTATATATAATGAGATTATCATATTATAAATAAAATATATTTATATAATATATTGTAATATAATATGTAAATAGTATTAAGTATTATATTATAATAATATACATATTATATTATAGTATAATACATACAATATTATAAGTAATTATATATTTTTCTTTTTTTTTTTCAAAAGATGTGCTTGTGGGATGTATTTAGGCTAAGAAGGAAATGTGTTTTGTCATTTTAATGGAACACTTCTATCATTGCCAAGCAACAAGTTCCATAGACACATGGCAGAAAAGTGGTCAATTTATCATAGTTTGCTATGCAGTTCTCTCAGTTGCCCACTTTTGAATTTCAGGCCTATTTTAATATACCAGTAATATGTAATATAATATGTGTATATAAATAAAATATAATATAAACATAAATATAAATTCTTATTTATATATAATAATTATATTGCATTAATTATATATTATTATATAATAACTAAGATAAACATTAATTTCCTGAGAGTATCTAAACCCACATTTATATTTTCTCAACTGCTTCACCGAAAATTTTAAGAAGTTTTGTTTTTCAAGGTTTAATAGTCCCTATTAATTTAGAGTAGTCTTGCACATTTTTCCCCCTGAGACTTGTCAGTCTTTAAGGAAACTGGTAAATTATTTCATAAATTATCTCATATTCTGAATTTGTCTGAATATTTGTTTATTTTGCCCTTTAATTTGCTCTTCCATCTCCTACAGTTTCTTTAACTGGAAGTTAAGTTTAACGGCTTATTTGTGTTGAGTTGAACATTGTGGTAAGGGTGCTTTGTAGAATTCCTGGTCACTTACTATTGCATGTCATCAACAGGCGCACATGCCAGACTGCCACACCCACAGTATGCTGTTTATTAGCCTGATTAGGGTTATAGCCTCCATATCACTACATCTCAATAGTTCACTTTTCCCTTAGAAATTAAAAGATAACCCATAGAGTAATACTTTGTTACATTGCCCATCATTGACCAAATAAATTACTTTATTGATTTTGCAAAATGGTGATTTTTTTTTAGAAGTCTCTCATTCCTTCTGCATGTGTCAGCCTTCATTCTTCTGTAAAAATCTAATTGCCAAGACATTATAATTGATGTTACTTTTTTTGTTTGGAAAAAAATATTAAACCAAAAGTAAACACAGGTCTACCAACAGGGCTCATTTCAAAGTTAATGTGCTACTGAAAGAGATTTTCTTTCATGGGCCTTGTATTTCACCTCAATCTCTATCTTTCTTTTAGCATTAATATTAGTTTAAATATGATCAGAAGCACTCTTAAAAGTATTAAAGGGGAGCTATCTGAAATTTTCTAGCTCACTTTCTCTGGGAAACTAATAATTTTTATTTTTAAATGTTTGTTTATTTTTTAAAGACAGAACTAAAGTTTTACAGACCATAAATCCTCGATTTTAGGTTCTAAGCCTTTCTTACTTTGTGGCATATTTTGGAAAATTTAATCTTTGAAATTGTTCCTTCGGGGGCTTATTCCATGTACTCTTCACTCTTTTTCTTTCTTCTTTTTCTCTTTTCTTTCTTTCTTTCTTTTTTTTTTTTTCAAAGATGTGCTTGTGGGATGTGTTCAGACTAAGAAGGAAATGTCTCTTGTCATTTTAATGGAACACTTCTATTATTGCCAAGCAGCAAGTTCCATAGACATATGGCAAAAAAATGGTCAATTTATCATCGTTTGCTATGCAATTCTCTTGATTGCTCACTTTTGAACTTCAGGCCTATTTTAATACACTAGTGGAGACAGTTGAAATAAAGCAGCAATGAAATCAAAGTGATGGGGAAAGAAAAGAAGGAATTGGCATTTGTGCTCAAAACTGGCCCAAGAAGACTGACATTTAGCCTGGACTTCTGAGATTGGGCCCCCTCCTTCTCCCATGATGCAATGCAGATTGGATTTGAACTGCTACTAGCTAGTCATGTGGGCCCTGTTACCCTCTCAGTGACCATTATCCAACTGTGTAAAACTTACTGTTTATTCTTCAGCATATCATCCAACACATAGCTATAAGCACCCCACTGTCTAGACCTGTGCTGGAGTCTGTAGGTTTAGAAGGCTTCAAATAGAGTGGTTCTACCTCTGTGCTACTGATGTCCTAGTAGGGGCAGAAAGACAGCAAAGGAGTGAACAGACAGGACCATTTTCCATAGGGATGATTCTGTAAAGAAAATAGAATAAAGACAACCTGAAGAGTGAGGAGGGAGTTACTTTACAGAATGTGACCAGAAAGGGACTCTCTGAGCAATACTTGGGTGATGAGAAGTTGTCAGCCATGCATCTGGGAAGGGGATGGCATTCCATGCAGAGGAAACTGCAAGTGCAAGGGCCCTGAGCTGAAAATGAATTTGGCATATTGAGGTGGCAGGAAGGAGGATGCATGATTGGAGCATAATAAGCAAGGAGAAGAGTAGCCGGAAGTGAGATCTGAGAAGTAAGCAGGGATCTGATGGTGGTGGCCCTTGCAGGCCAGGCTGAAGACTTCGAAATGTATTCTAATTGCAAAGAGAATCCATTAGCATATTTAACATAAGAGGTGGCATGATATGTTTTATGTTTTTAACAAACATATGACAAATGTACTAGAGGTAGGGCAAAGTAGAAGCAGAAAGACAAATGATAAGCTGTAGTGGTCTCCAGACTTAGACATGGGCAGCTTCGTTTTCAATTTTGGGTGGTTCCGTTCTGTTCTCAGTGGAGATGGAAAAGAAAACTTACTGTCCTTTGTATTAATAAAATAAAAATTTTGGTATTTGAGAATGTAAGGAAGTGTGATCAGAAAGCATGGTGAATATGGGAGAAAATGAATTTTGATTAACTACCTATGATATACTTGATTCAGTGAGACAATATATCTCTCATTCATAAACAAATACTGTCTTCTCTGTGCCAACCACTATTCTAAGTGTCACCAAAACATACAAGTGTTTTATTCCTATTTCATCATTTTATAAATTGTCACTCAATAAAGAAATAAAAGTCTTACCTGGACAAAAATATGATTAATAGTTGAAAGTTATATCTTCTGTATCCCTAATGTTTACATTCTCTATAATTTTTTCTTTGAGCTGCTACTACTCTATGTTCAAATCCTATTTTTCCTGAAATGAAGTGATGCAGATTTGGACAATATTTTAAAAAATATAATGTACTCTAAAAACATAAGATGAGATTAGTAGTAGAAGTTTAGATTGGCTTTCAGATCCATTCTAATGACAGCTGTTTAAATGAATCGCAGCTGCTTAAACTTTTTACAAGTACAATTGCACCATCTCACCATTCTCTGCCTCATCTTCCCCTTTCCCTCCTGCTCTACTCTTTGTAGGGTGAGGATTAAAGGGTAAAGCAAGAGAGACCAAGTCAGGCTAAATCATACGTGTGCAGGTTCAGATCCTGTCATCGTTTAAAAATGATATTCTGTTCAATGTGGATCTTTTTGCATTAATTTTGATCACTTTAAATGTTGCATTAAAGTATTACTTATCTTGATCCCTGAGTTTTTTGGCTCCCCTTTAAATTCTACAGCCAAGGCAGTCACCTTTCTTACCTCAACTTAGTTCCTGCCCTGTCCCTTCAAATATATCCCCCTCTGCTGCCACCTTTTATAACTCAAGCCCAGCCTTGTATCAGTATATTTTGAAAAGACTTTCTATGTACATCTGATACAATCCTAGACTTAGACATGTTACAAAAAAGGGGGAAAGCTCTAATGGTGTCATTTTTTTAGAGGAAGACCCTTTATTTTGATATTGATTCTACAGAGATTTTCCCCTGTCCCTTTCAATAAGTAGTTCTAGGAAAGATGTGGCAGTCATAAAAGTCTTCAAATAATGTAGGGAGCTTTGAAAGCTATTACCTTCTTCCTTGCCTTTTATATCTCCCTTAACTCTTTGCACTTGGATGTCGATTGTGGATAATGTCGAGTGGATGATGAGAAAAAAGCAAGTGAGTGCAAAGGGTTAAGGAGGAAAGGGAGGGGGCGGACAAGATAGACAGGGACAGGACATTGACACCAGTTTGAAGGCATCTCTAGGACTGGAATGTGGGATCTTTGCTGGAGAATGGTAGGTTTTGTGTGTGCAGCTCACAGACTCATGCCATATTAAGGCCCAACTAGCCACATGACTCTTTGTGATTCCAGATGAGTTGAGCATTTAGTTTCCATAAGGGCCCAGCATAGTGGAGTTGAAAGGATGACGACAATCTATCTCTGGTGTAATCTTGGTTCCTAGTCACTTCATCTCCTCAGATTAAGACCCAGAATGGCTTGACTCTCCCTCATTTTAGTTTTCTGTGTGGAGCATTAGAATCAGAAGCCCAGATCTTCACTTGGTTCCTTTGTAAATTGGGGTTCTCTCTGAACCTTAGTTTCCTCATTTGTAAAGTGGTAATAACAATTCCTCCTTCAACAAATGGTCATGTCTAGTAAGCGCTATGACATCTGGAAGGGCTGGCATGACCTAACACGACAGATAGATGTTCAATAGATGTGTGATAATGAATTTGTCTAAACTATGTCAAGAGTTGTTTGCACATTTCTACCTGTTTTTGTGAAGTGATGAATCAAAGCAGATTTATTTTACATGCCTATTAGTTATTCATAATTGTCCACAATGTCTAAGATCTTGTACTAATAAAACCTTGCATTTGTAGATATTGGATATAAAATATATGAAGCAACTAGCATGATAGAATATCCTAGAGTTTCAGGACACAAAAATTGAAATCACAATGTTCTTGTTCAACTGCAACCTCAGTGTCAAATCAATATAATGTATAAGAGGCATGTAAAGCGTTAGTAGACTGTACAACATTTGATTAATTATTCTTGAAGGAATATTTTTTAAAAAGAAAACAAAATGAAATAAAAATCCCCGAATAATTGTTTTCTACTCTTTGATTTCTGATTGAATTTTTATGTTTTTATCTTTTATCTTCAGGTACTAAATCAAACTTCTCGACTTGAAATACAACTGCTAGAGAATTCATTATCAACATACAAACTAGAGAAGCAACTTCTTCAACAGACAAATGAAATTCTAAAGATTCATGAGAAAAACAGGTGACTATTATTATATTCCAAAAATATTTACTTATCCATACCCTCTACCTCTCTGCCAACTTTTTAAAAAATGAGGTTGAGATGGTTTACAAAAAAAAGAAATATAGAGCTAAATTAAATAATATAAAAAAGGAGGGTTTATGGTGAATACAGGAAGTATGTCAACAATAATATTAGTACTGTTGCTTATACTTGTGAAACACTTGCTTTTTATAACTTTTAGCATTAATTTCTCTAATGTTTAGTTGTTCAAATCCTACCATATCCACAAAAATTATTTGATTCTGTAACTGAGTTCAGTGACACAAAATATTTACATTTTCAGCATAATCCAAATATATAACTATAGAGAAAATAATTGAGCCTATTGAATTATTACTCAACACTCTACTCTTAAACTTTTACAATGCTACAGAGTTTTGGAATTCAGATATCTTGCACTAGAAAGATGAAAAATTTATATTTTTTTCAGAAAATTATTTACATGTAAGCTGATCAAGAGTTCTGTTTTTTCATTTAAAACCATGTACTCTAGATGTAATAAATCTCTTCAGTAAGCTTTACAGATGTCATAATATGAGTATGCTTCGTAAACTATGAATCATGTCAGATAAGTGAAATGGGACTTAGAGAGCTTGAGTGCTGGGACAGTGAAAGACTTGACTTTAAAGTAATTAACATTGATGATGGAAAGTTTAAAACACTGACTTCAGTAGGACAAGTATCTTGTATTTCATTGCATTTTCTTATGAGTATTTGGAGAACTTGAAGAAGTTATAGTTCTTGGGTATTACATTGAATTAAAGACCAGTGTATTTATAGAAACTAATTAAGTGCCATTAAGTTAGTGGAAGTAGAGTTTCTTTCATATTCCAAACCAGGAAGTCACCTAAGAGAACTGCTGGTTCTCCTCTTACTTTACAGATGAGGAAACAGAGACTCAGTAGAGGCGAGTGACCTGTCCAAGGTCACACAGCTTGCTAGTGGCAGAACCAAAAATGTAATCCAAGTTTCTTTGCCAATAGTCCTCCTATCTCTGTTATAACACATGGCCCCTTCAGACTTTCTACAAGAGTTTCCCAACTTTATGCTAAAAATAGACCTTAATGCCAATAATTACAATTAAATTTCTGCATGAAGAAGATAAACCTGTTGGTTTGGAATCCGGAAGGGGTTACTCATGCTCTATAACTTGTATTTCTAAGTTTTACATTTATTTATCTTTGTACCATGTCATGGGGTAAACTGTATAACTATAAATAAACTTGACAGGACTTGACTCTGAGCTGGCTGCATGATGAAATGTTTTAGAATTGAAAATCCTGTTGAAAAATATCATTTATCCCACTGCAGTTTCATCAGACATATACAAGTATACAACAGATATATTTTACCTCAATCATCCATTGATTTCAGGTCATGCTCCATGCTCTAATTTTATCAATAAAATTGAATCCCATTTACAGTAATATATTTTAAGGTGCTACTTATGAAAGCTTTCTCCAGGAACTATGAAAAAGTAAAACAATGACAATTTTACCTAATTTTTCTGAATGTTTATTTTTTTTAATTATATAAATACTACATTTATTATAGAAAAAAGAAGAAAGGACACAAAGTAAAATTAAAAACCATAGTTTCATCGCACATATATATAAATATATTTTTCACAAAAAGTTGTTTTGAAGCTGCTTTCTTTGGTGATAGATACCTTTTTATATCAATAAAATATCTCTCTAATCTTATTCTTCATAGCTGAATATTTCATTATAGGTATAACCTAGAGTGGTTTTAATCCACTCTATCCTTGGACCTGAGTGAGGGTGCAAGCTCTCAAAAGAGCTTTGCTCTGGAACAAGTAGAAGAAGCTTCTCTATGTGCTGCAACCTCTCAGGGGAATCCAACTCCTGATCCCATGCACATACATAAAAAATTCGTCAGTTTTTCACCTTAATAAATTCTAATATCTACAGAAAACTCAGGTTTTCCTTGCATATAAAAATCACACCATTTACTGATAGTGTTAATTTTTTCAGGATTATAGGAGTTCCTTATTCTAGTAACATAGGTATCCCACAATGAATTTAGGAATTTAGGCTTTAATTTGAAATTCATTTCTATGCTCATGCTGACACATCTTAAATGCATTTTATATTCCTACCCCACACCTATTTCATTTTTGACCTTTGATCCCTCAAGTATGGCATGTGGTTCTGGGTGTAGTTTTCTATCAATTTTTGTACCTCCTGGCATTGCTGTGCTTCTTCGTTATCTATCTGTCTTCTTGTGGAAGGGCTCAATGTGTATAATGGAGTGTTGTTTGAACACCTATTCTTAAACCAGGCATATTCTATTTTGAACCATTTTTTAAAAGGTGGACTTTTTTTAATATAAACCAAAAATACCCATTTGTGATCTATAGCATACTTTTGATTCTATTAATTATTATTGTTTATTTTCATGTGCAGTAGAATTAGAGGAAGTCTAACAAGCACTTTGGAGAGCCACAAAGTAATGTGCTCCCCCCATTCAAGTGGATAGAAGGTCAATGTCAAGCATGAAGTTGTTTATATTTTTTAAAAACAGTTTATTGATTATTCCTACCTATTCCTTATATGAATTTTAATCTTCCAAATGCAACAAGAAAATAGTTCTACATGGAAGCATCTCTGAAATGTAGGAACAACATGCCTTTAGTTGGCCAGGTCTGGTTTGGATCAGCTAATACACTTTGCAAAGGGGATTATCTAAATTAAGCTTTCCTTCCTCCCCAAGGAATGTCAGGGGTTGTGTCTGGGTGTGTGACTTACCAACTTTGAGTATGTTGGGGCCTCAGCTGCCAAGTCAGTGAGCTGGCCCTTAGGAAGGTCCACCATCTCTTTGGCAGAACAAGGAGGAATATTTTATGGTTAGGATTATACTACACAAACATGCTGAGAGGTCCTGCTGATTTATATCCTGACAAATTAAATGCATCACTCGTAGGATTGAAAACGGATTTTTGGCCTCATTAGATTCATTTCTTTATCCCCTAAATGGCCAAAAGCACAAGCAGAAATAGGATTAGCAACATTTCTCTACTGTTTGTTTTCCTAGCAGTCTGTTGGGGGTGACTCCAAGAAGCTTCCCGTCCCGTCTGCTTTCTTCAGGAAATATTTTTTTCTTTTTTGTTTGATGCTACCCTAATGTCTAAACTGCATTTTATTTTGTACCTCAAGGAAACAGCACTTGGAAGTAAGCGATCCACAGTTCTCCCATATAATTGAAATTACACAACCAAGAACCCAAAGAAATGGAAAACCTTAATATTTACCTTGCTCATAAAGAGATTGGTATGAACACCAAGTGGAACATGAAATTGTAAAGTTTTATTAGTTTCCTCAGTATGTTTCCATCTGCTTCTGTTCAAAACAGTGGAAAAGAGTTATACAAGGAATGATGTCATAATGCAGTTTCCTTCAGATGAACCAAATATGAGACTGAATCTGTTGGTCTAAAAGTTTGGTCAACTGGCCAGGTTACAGGGCACCTGCCCATCTCTCACTTAACCCTAACTTTTTTCAAGGTGGTAGTATAGCCAGGCAAAAGAATATCCCAGAAGAAATCTTTCTGCCTCACCTGGGTGTATAGGAAGGGGTATCACCACCCCATGCATATAAAGATGGAGCACGTGGGCTTTCTTGATAATTGTGTTAAATATGCAGAGTGAAGATTAGGGAAATCTTCAGTAAGGCCCTTCAGAGAGAAATGCAACTAGACATGTGATGGCCATTCCAACATAGTTTGAGCAATCCGAGCCGCTGCCTAACTGTCTATCTACTAACTATGAGGTAAACATCTATGCCAGGTGCTTTATATTCACTACTGCTAATCCTCCAGCCAATCCTTCCAAGTATGTATTATTTCCATTTTACTCATAAGAAAAACTGAAGCTCACAGAGGTCAAGTAACTTGCTCATGACCAACGGCAAAATTAGGGTTCAAGTCCATGATGATTCTCTGTCTTAGTTATTATAAAAATTATTTTTCCAACATGATGCAGCCTCAGGTATAACTGATGTGATTGTCAAGGCAATCTCTTAATACAAACAAATGTAAATTTGAAGAAAAGGGTAGACTAGTTGTTTTTGGCTTATTACTATGCAGGTAATTATTTATTTCTTCTAATATTGGAGTTGTAGATATAAACTATTTATTTTACCTTGACAATTCACTGATCTTATTTGAAAAGCCTCATCTATCTTCCAGTTGGAGTTATGGGAAGTTATTAAGTTAATTAATTTTAAGTGATTGAAGCATGTGTAATTTCAAGTTACCAAAATATGCCTTACAAACAAAGTACTGCAATGGTATAATAAGTATTGATGTTTTTTTTCCAGCATATTATGGGGGTACAAATGTTAAGGTTACGTATATTGCCCATGCCCCCCTCCTCCCTCGAGTCAGAGCTTCAAGCGTGACCATCCCCCAGGTGTTGCACATCTCACTCATTGCGTTTGTATATATATATATATACACCCTTCCCACCTCCCCCCTCCCACCTGCCTGACACTGGATAAATGTCCACTTAGGTGTTGATCCGTCAGGTATTGATGTTTTAATACTTAATATACCTGAATAAATTAAAAGTTAAATCAGTCTTTTTAACTAAATCAATTCTCCATTTGATAAGTTTATTACAAATTGCTAAAGTAACACCTTGCTAACTTCTAGCATTAGACAGGCTGAATTATATTAGTTGTATATATCATGGACCAGAATAAAGTGCCTTTTTGAATAATACTATCCTATTTTATATCTTGTAGGTAGAACACCTAGAGATTCTGATGTTAAGTAGAACATTGTCTTTTTTCACCTTTCAATTTTTAAATAATGAGTTTAATGGCATATAGCATTTTTTTCTTTCAAAGTACAATAACCTTAGGATCTTAGAGTGAAATAGAATCTTGATCAAACTGGAAATATAAGGGTCATATCTTAATTTTTCCCTTTTCCTAATT